GAATGTTTAGTGCAATATTTACTACAGAGTTCTCTTAGTACAAACAAAAGCCTTTTTAAATACTTTTTAATATTTATTACATGTTGAAGTGATCATTTGGGGGCTTCCATGATGATCCAGTGGCTAAGACTCCACACCCAATGCCAGGAGCCCTAGTTCGATCCCTGGTCAGGGAACCAGATCTCACATGATGCAAGGAAGATACCGTGTGATGCAGCCGAGACCAAATAAATAAATATTTAAAAAGAAAATAATAATTGGTTATGTTGGGTTAATAAAATACATTGTTAAAATTAATTTTACCTGCTTTTTTCTCTTTTTGTGTGTCTGCTAGCCACTTTAAGATTACATGTTTCCATGATGCACATTTATGGCTCATATTGTATTTCCATTAGATAGTGAGTGCTTCCCTGGTTAATTCCACATTTTCTGACCTAGGTAAGAAGAAATGAAAGCAATTGGAGAGAAAGTGAAAGTTGCTCAGTTGTGTCCTGCTCTTCGCAACACCATGGACTATGAAGTCCATGGAATTCTCTAGGCCAGAATACTGGAGTGGGTAGCCTTTCCCTTCTCCAGGGGATCTTCCCAACCCAGGGATCAAACCCAGGTCTCCTGCATTGCAGGTGGATTCTTTACCAGCTGAGCCATCAGGGAAGCCCAACTGGAGAGAAACAGTCAAATCTTGTATTCTTAAATTTCTCTTACTCATAAATAATCTGTCTAGACTTAGAAGTTTCAAAAAGGGAAGATCCTTTATACTCTTTCTCAGAGACTGTCCTATTATTTGAGATAACTTCACAATATAATGCTTGTCTTTTTTCCTTTCATACTTTTTGTCTGGTAACTGGATGGTAACTATAAGGCTGAGAATTTTATTCAAAATTTCAGAACCATGTTCATGCTATTGGCTTTTTTATATGTCTAGTATAATCTTACATAACTGGAAACTAATAAAAGGTCTTTTATATGGAGATGTGTGTGTTAGTCACTCAGTTGTGTCTGAGTCTTTGTGACCCCATGTACTCTTCTGTCCATAGGATTCTCAAGGCAAGAATAATGGAGTGGATTGCCATTTCCTTCTCCATTTATATGGAGATATTATTGGAAAGATGTTTGTCATATCAAATTATGATGATCAGGGACTTCCCTGGCAGTCAGGTGGTTAAGATTCGCCTTCCAGTGCAGGGGGGTGCGGGTTTGATCCCTGCTCCTGGAGCTTAAATTCCTTATGTCTCATGGCCAAAAAAAACAACTTAAAACAGAAGCAGTATTGTAATGAATTCAGTAGTTAAGAAAAAGCAATCCCAGGTGGGAACCATGTGGCCAAATGGCTCATAAATGACACCGATAACTAGTTGCCATTTTAGTTTCATAGTCCTTCCTTGACCATTAGACCTTCTTAAGCACCAGCCCATCTTTCCTTCCCTCCATGGATTCTTCTTGGTTTTAGTAACATTGCAAATAAACATAACCTGGCCTTGAGCATGGCTCTGAAGCAGCCCTGAAAAAATCAGATCTGCTTCAACTTTTCTTTTAATCTAGTTGCCTTTAGGATTTTAACCATAGTAAACCTGTTATATGTAAGAAAGTATTTTCTGCAACCAAATTGGATAAAAAAGAAAATTATGGGTCATATGTCAGGATATCTTTAGTGAAGAAGGTTTGTGTTTAAAAAGACAAAGAAATATATTTATAGAAAACTCTACCCAACAATAGCAGAAAGCATATTTTTTATAGTGTCCATGAACCAGTCCCCAGATAGAAGATATTCTGGGCCATAAAACAAACCTTAACAAGTTTAAAAGAACTGAAATTACACAAAGCACATTCTCTGATTCTAATGGAAATAAACTAGAAATTAATAACAGAAAAATATCTGAAAATTTCCCAGATATTTGGAAAACACACTTCTGATTAGCCATGGGTCCAAAGGTAGTCACAAGGGAAAGTAGAAAATATTTTTAACTGAATGAAATTGAAAATATAGCAAATCAAGAATTGGAGCTGACACAGTGCTTAGAGAGAAATTAATAGTATTAAATGATTTTATTAGAAAGGAAGAAATATATGTATCAGAACATCATTTTAGACTCTATAGTAATTAAAAGAATAAGAGAGAAATACTACAAACAACATTATGCCCAGAAGCTGGAAAACTAATGAAATAGAGAAATTTCCTTATAAAGTATCAAAGCTCATGCAAGAAGAAATAGATAACCTGGATAGTCCAATAGTAACTAAAGAAATTGAATTCATAGTTTAAAACCTTTCTATAAAGAAAAGTTCAGACCTACATGGCTTCCATAGCAAATTTACCAAACCTTTAAGGAAGAAATGTTATTTCTATACAGACTCTTCCAGAAAATAGAAGGAACAGTTCTCAACTCATTTTATGAGGCTAGATAATACCAAAAGATATTGCAAAGGCAAAACAAAACAAAACAACAAACCTTCCCTCATGCACTGGGACAAATGAACAAAACACCAGCAAACCAAATTCAACAATGTGTAAATAGCATAATAGTTGTGTTGCGCTGGTAAACTGGTTCCCCAGTTGGTGGGGGAAGCCCTCTTTGTATGGATTTCCGTGGTGTGAATCTCCCACCATGACCAATTGGCAAGTTCAGGGACCAACATAAGGTCCCTGAATGTGGAGTTGGAAAAAGATGTGCGGTATCAGCTCTCGTGAGCTCGTATAATCCAACTTCAGCACATCATGGCCCATGCATAATTTTCACAAGAGTGCAAACTGTTCAACATTAAAAAATCAGTGAATGGACTTCCCCATAATAATAGACTGAAGAAAAAGACAAACTGTGAACCAAAAATTGCATTTAGTTCTGTACTAAGCAAAATAAGCCCACCCAAGCTGATGCTCTGACAGTGCACTGCACTTCAGACCTTCCAGTGCTCCTGTATCACTTGTCCCCTTTTTTTGCATCATTGCTTTGATCATTGCCCTTTCTTTTCAAACACCTAGATTACACCCTCTTCCCATGGCAACTGCTTGCTCATCCAGCATTTTATAAATAGATGCAATGACTCATTGGAAGGATGGAGAAATATCCCTAGCTCATGGGAAAGATCTGAAGTGTATAAATCTATATAATTGGCTCTTAAATTTCACACACACACACACACACACACACACACACACCCAATGACAAAGAAGTGTATTTGTCTGTTTTTATTTCCAGTCATGTGCTCAGGATACTCTTTGTGAGGACTTTTTTTTAATGGTTACTCTAGTGGGGTCGTGGAATGGTGAAATGAGGACCGATTCTTCTCTACTGTTTTGGGAGTACCTTTGGGTCAAGAATCTTGTTCTTTTAAAAATCTGTGTATCAACTCCTGACACACTACTTGGCATGTAGATTCAGTGAATGTTTTGATGAACTGATGAAAGAATAAAACAGAATTTTGAAAATCCCTCACTTGTCAAGGATCTCAATTCAAGATTTTAGTGTGAGACTCAAATACTCACCATGGAAGTGGCTATTCCTTGAATGACAACCCCAACTCCAGTGTGGTGATCTTCAGCATTTTTCTGCTTATTTCAAAGACATTTATGAAATGAGAGTGGGAACATAGTAATTAAAATTCCCTAAAGAACTTCATTTAAAGGGATTTGGGTCACCCATATCATCCGAAAAAGTACTGTGGGGCTGGCAGTGTAAAATGGTGAATACTGACTGCAGCTAAAACCAGCTTTAGCACAATTTTATTGTGTGTAATGGTGTTGTGTATTGCCTGTACAGTTCAATATGTTTGCTCTTGGGACTTCTTTGGTGGGCCAGTGGTTAAGAATCTGCCTTCCATTGCAGGGGATGTGGGTTTAATCCCTGGTCAGGGAACTAAGATCCCATGTGCCCCGGGGCAGCTAAACCCTTGCACTGCGAACTACTGAGCCCTTGCTCTAGAGCCCATGCTGTGCCACACGAGAAGCCCAAGCACCACAGTGAAGACCCAGCACAGCCTATATATATATACACACACATACATATACACACACACACATATATATATATGTTTGCTCTTTGTATTCATATGTGGATTTTTAAACTTATATTAATGGGTAGGGGGAACCTGGAACACAACTTTAAAAGTTACTGTGTCTTTGAATTTTGATGTATTGTTGATCGTATCTGTGATTTATTTAATGCCTCTTTTTTTTTGAAATAGCATATGTATAAGTGCAATTTATTTGTTTGTTTTTATATTTTATTTATTTATTTTTGGTTGCACTGTGTCTTCGTTGCTGCATGCGGGCTTTCTCTAACTGGCGAGTAAGGGCTTCTCTTGTTGCGGAGCACAGGCTCTAGAGTGAGAGCTTCAGTAGTTGTGGTGCACGGGCTTAGTTCTGCTAGGCATGTGAAATCTTCCCAGACCAGGGATTGAACCTGCATCCCCTGCATTGGCAGGCAGATTCTTAAGCACTGCGCCACCAGGAAAGTTCTATTTAATGCCTAACTCTTGATCATCCACTTTACTATATGATTTCACTGAGATATAAATGGGGAATGGTACGGTAACATGAGTTAATATGGTCTGTGAAATCTCAAATATTGTTTTCAGGCCAGCTGAGAAATGGATGTGTCTGGTAATTAAGAAGAACAGATTGGGTGGGATCACTCATCCCCAGAGGAGGTCAGGGTGAGAGATTTATATTTACATCAAAACAACTTTTAAGTTTCCTGATTTGCTTACCAGCTTCAAAAAAAAGAAGGAAACCTTTAATTATTTAGGAAAATGGACATTGTCTTTTCCTGCCTGAATCCGGGTTTTTAGTTATCAAAACCATATCAAGTTACTCCTCAGCACTGATTATCCTTCAAGCTAAGCAACTTGTCTCAACAGTCTCTTGTCATCAATAAGTTATTACTTGCCTCATTGTCAAGTTTGGCTTCAGTGAATACTGAATACCGTAGTAGCCATCGTTTTCATACTGAGTCAGATGTCTGTTTATTCTCATTTTATTAATGGAAATTTTTCTCCATCAGGGATGGATGAATGAGATTTACAACTATGATCCAGAAACTTATCATGCGACTTTGACACATTCAGTCTTTGTTCGACTTGAGGGTGGGACCTTGAGACTTTCAAAGCCCAATAAAAATATATCCAGAAGGGCAAGCTACAATGAAACAAAACCAGAGGTCACCTACATCAGCCAGAAAATCTACGACCTCTCGGACAGCAAGGTGAGCCTAATTTTGGAAGCTTAGATGAATGAAAAGCATTTGGAATCTTGAATGCTTTGCTGTATTTTTTTTCATTTAAAAAGGTTGTGTGTGTTTTTAAAGTATTAGTCTAATTTAGAGCAGTACCTGTCAGACGTTAATATGCATATGAATTACCTGAGTGTCTTTTAAAATGCAGAATCTGATTCAGCAACTATGAGGGGACCCTGAGAGCCTGCATTTTTGTGAGCTCCCAGGTGATATCTATGCTGCTAATCCACGGACCACACTTTGAGAAGCAAAGGCATCATACACCCTTCTGACTTGGAGAGTTAATTTTTTTGGTCAGACAAAAAGTCACATGTTACAGTGCTGGCTAATAACTAATGGAGGCCCTATAAATCTGGAGATATGGATATATATGCAAAATAACCACATTTTGTTAAAAGTATGACATACTTCTGTTCTTGAGAAATGTAAATTATTTGTTATTCCAAAAAGCTGTAGGTTCTCTATTCTTCTTAAAACTCTCGTGCATGATCTTTGAGTTTCCCCAAAATTGCAGAAGTTTTTAAAAGTTTTTTTTTTATAAATTCATTCTTAACTTGAGGTTGATTAACTTGAGCTTCCTGTCAAGATCTAGTTTGATAAATTCTTTTTTTTCCCTCCTCGGCTTAAGTGTGGCCCAGGGTCATTAAATTCAGTTCATATTCAGACTTAATTGATGATAATCCTCTAAATAGTTATTGTGCTACTGTTACCTGAAAATCATAGATATTTGTAACTGTCAAAGTTCTTGAACATCTCCTTTCTGGACTTATTTTGAAGAAAAAGTCATTTCTAGAAATTCTAGTTTCAAGGGTTCGTATGCCACAGCTAAAGATCCCGTGTGCTGTAACTAAGACCTGACAGTCAAATAAATAATAAATAAATATTCTAAAAAATTACAGTTTCTCTAGTCGTGTTACGGACAGATGGCAGTTCTTTTACATTCATCATTTTAGTCAAAAGTGACTATGACGTCTGCATTTGTGCTCTGCACAGTAGTAGTGCTCATCATAGCCAATTCTTAATTTAGCATGTAAATCATTTCCCTTTCTTCGTAGGTTTATCTTGTGCCTAAAAGTTTGGCTCGAAAACGAATCTGGAATAAAAAGTACCCCATTTGTATTGAGCTTGGTCAACAAGATGACTTTATGTCTAAGGCCCAGACTGACAAAGAGACTTCTGAAGAGAAGCCACCACCTGATCGGGAGCTGGGAGGCGAGGACCCTAAGAAGCCGCCCCACCCTCCGGAGGGAACACGATCTGGCCATCGAGATCAGATACTCTATCTCTTTGGGAGAACTGGCCGAGAAAAAGAGGAGTGGTTTAGGAGATTTATTCTGGCATCTAAGCTGAAGTCAGAAACCAAGAAGCCACCACCTGGTGTCTCTGGAAGTAAACCAGGTAATGATATGAGTGCTAAATGCTTATGTATTTTTAAAGGGCCTGTGAGTGGATTGAGAGAGATTCCCAGGTAGGAAGGAGGCCCACCCTGACTTGATGACTGTCTGCCACCTAAGGTGTGTCCAGGGGTCATTTGCCTTCTAGGCTGCTCACTGCGGTACTCCGTACCAAAACATTGAACCAGCGATGGAAATATTTATAGACTTGTATTTTTTTTGTCTTTGCTGGTTCCTTAAGGATTCAATTTATTTTTACATCTTGAGGCTCCTCTGAGAGAGGCAGCAGCAGCAGAACCCTAGTTGTAATAAGAAGGCTGGTGAGAAGGCGGCTCATGCTCTCAAGCCCCTGGCCTTCAGCATGGCCTCCATGCCTGAGACCACCATCCAAGTGCCAGAATCCTTGGGCTCCTGACTCGCTGCGTTTGCCTCAATCACCAGGCCCCCGTGCTCATTTCCTGTCCCTCTGTCCCATGTACTTTGCTTGGAAAGTCGCTGACTCTCTCACTGTCCTCCAGACAGTGCCCAGAGGACACTGTCTTTGCTTTCTGTGACCTGTCTTTGCTTTTGGCATATGCTGTTCCCTCTACCTGGCTTGCTGTTCCCCACCTGGGCCGGGAAAATTGCCAACTATTTTTTCAAGGGGCAGTCCAGAGGTTACTGCCTGTGGAGGTCAGTGCTGGGGGACATGCCTCTCAGCTCTCTCGGGCAGAGGCTCTCTCCCTATGCTTCCCAGTCATGCTTCAGTTACCGTGCTTATTTCAGAAAACTGTGGTTTATTTGCCTGGGTGCCTGAGTTCAAGGGCAGTTATTGTGTATGTCAATCTTTTTCTTAATGTGGAGTTGGCCCAGAGAAAGTGCTTGATTAAAAAAACGTGTTGAATGAATGAATGAATGAAAGATGGTGTGTTTTTCCATCCACAGGCTTATGGCAGTTCCAGTTAGCTTTTTCTGCCCCCTTTCCATGTGCCCCTGGGAGGTGTATCAGTCCTTCATTTGACCCTAACAAGTTACCAGGAAGAAAAACGGGTACCTACCAGATATGTATCATGGCTCCCATTACTCTGAATCATCTCGAAGAAAAATAAAAATTCTTCTAAAAAATGATCTATCATTAGAATGGAGGGTGTCTTTCATGCTGGGAAGTAGCCTTGTATTTTTTGAACAGTGACTGGTAGCATGTTAGCCACTTTTCGGCTGAGCCCGTTGGAGTACGCCCTGTGTTGCATTTCCCTTGCCGCTGCCCCCTTCATCTGCGTCAACAGCCATCTCTTCTTGCCCCAGGGATTTTGCCCTCACACAGCCGACACAGCAGCCCCTCGGGACACTTGACCCACAGCCGCAGCAGCAGCAAAGGCAGCGCGGATGAGCTTGTGGCCCAGCCGAAGCAGAAGGAGCTGGTGGGCGGCGTGCGGCAGAAGATGCTTCTGGACTACAGCGTGTACATGGCCAGGTGTGTCCCCCAGGAAAACCGGAGCCCCCAGAGGAGCCCTGTGCTGAGCGCGGAGAGCAGCCCCACCACGGGGAAGAAGGTAAAGCTGGCTGCCCTGGCTTGGCTGTCCTACGTGTAAACTCAGGTCTTCATACTTTAGCCCTTTGAGTGCCTCTTCTGTACCAGGCCCTGTTCCAGGCACTGGGGACACAGTGATGAACCAGACAGATGAGGGCCATGCTCTTAGGGAGCTGGAACTCTAGTCTGGGAGACAGTGCGCATTGAGCATCGGATGCCGATAAGGATTAAATTAAGCCAGACAAGGGAGAATGGGAAGTGGCCAGAATGGCTACTTTAGATTGATGGTCGAGGAGGGCCTCTTTGAGGATGCGACACTTGGGCAGAGCCTTGGCCAGAGTGAGGAAGCGAGCCCTGTGATCTGTGTGGGGGGAGCGTTCCAGGTGTGGGAACCAGAAGGTTCAGAGGCCCCAAAGCAGGGATGTGGCTGCAGTGTTCAGGGAACCGCCGTGAGGTCGGCGTGGGTGGCAGTGAGCGAGGGAAAGAGGCAGGGCCTCCTCAGGTCAGCTCCTCGTCAGTCAGATCATGGGAGGCCCTGGGAGGGCTTTGAGCAGGGCATAATGTTGATCTGATTTGAGTTTGAAAAAGATATGTGGCTCTCATGGAGAGGGGGCGGAGGAGGAAGAGGGTGGATGGGAGGTGATGGTGGCAGCCGAGAGTGGGGCTGAGATTGAAGGGTCACAGCAGGGGTGAGACACAGCTGCCTTTGGGAGACTCTTGGAGGGAGCTGGCTGGGTTTGCGGGTGAATTCCATGCAGGATTGAGAGAATCAGAGCAGTCAGAGGTTACCCCTGAGCATTTGATCTGAGCAGCTGGGTGATCATTGGGGAAATTCACAAAATCATTAGCAATAGAGGTCTAATTCTTCAATAACAATTGTATTCTCAACTTCTCAGACTCCTCAGCTGCCTCCAGGGCTTTTAAAGGTTTACCATCAGCATTATTTGCACAGTATTAGTATAACAAGCTGGACATTGACTTGAGAGCATGTGTGATTAATATAAGTTGCCATCTGCCAGATTCTGCTAGATCCTTTAATAGAATTACTCTGATCCCTTGAACAGCCTTGCCAACCAGCTAGTACTCGCTCCATTTTGTAGGTGGAGAGACCCAACCTCACAGAAGTTAAGTAGGTTAATTTCACAGTTGCTCAGTGATGAAGTGCTCCAAACCTGATCTGAGTCTCTGAGGCCCTCTGGCTGCCAGGACTGCCTTCTTGGTGGTTCATTCTCAGACTGTGCTCGACCGCAGGCCTCCAGCCACTCAGGTTCTGAGGCACAGCCTCCGCCTGTGGAGCAGGACGAGGCCATGTTCAGTTGCTAAAGTGTTTGACCTCTGATCAGATTACTGTGTTTCTGTTCACCAGAAGCATCTGGGGCCTTCCTCTTTGTGCCTTCAGCCTTTATTTCTCCTGTTGACCCTCTTCACTATGGCAGAGGCCCCAGAACTTCCCTCAGCCTACTCTGTCAGGACCAAAAAAGACTGTATGCCTTTGCTGGCCTCTGACCCACTGCTTGCACCTGTGACTTCATTTACCAGCTAGAGTGGGAAGTAGGCTTCCTGCTAAGCTAGGGTGGGATCATACACAACTGTTGCAGAAACGTCCTGTTTACCACTGACTCCCACTCCCCTACCCCAGTCCCCTTTCTCCCTGGGTAGTCGGCTGTCTTGACCCCCATCAGACTCAGGAGGATCAGGAGGAGAACTGTGTGATGTAAGAAAATGATCTACTAAGTAAATGCTTGCTTTTTAAAAAGGAGTTCTGTAAATTAACAGTTTTAGAACATCGTTTCCTCAGTATGTGTTTACATGTGCTTGTTCTTTCATGTCATCTCTGGGGTTTGTGGGAGGCCCTGCTGGCACACAGCCCAGGCCCTGACCTAGCGTGCTGTTGCTAACCTTTCTTCCAGGCACTTTAGCGCTACCCCTTTAGGCACCAAGATCTTTTTTCATCTTCTGTGCCTGATAAAGATCTCTAAAAACCACATGGCACTTCCTGGCCCCCTTAGGCAGAGCAGGCAGGGATGATTTCATCTTTCCTTGCTGATTTAAAGACTCAGTACAACACATGGAAATTCAGGCCTGTGGTCTGGCGAGGCCACCGAGTTCAGGCCTTTCACCCTAGACCACAGACTCTGCAGCATTTTCTGTCAGCTGTCAGCTGGCTGGTGTTGGTGTGTGTCCTAGTTGCCCTTCCTCCAGTGCTTATCCTCGTCTCCCACCCTTCCCCTTGATTTACTGATTCTCATCTGCTCGAGCTAGGAAACCACAGAGAACCACAACTGTGTGAACAGAGACAACTATCTTTGAAAGAGGGGCTTTTGAAGAAAGTGCAGGAGGATTAGTGCTGGGCTTCCACATCTACTTGGCTTGCCTGAAGCACATGTTGGCTATGTCCTGGCTCTCAGGGGTGGTCTGATAGTAGAGATGGTTGTGAACAGGTATAGGTGTGTGTGCTAGTTATCTATTGCTGTGTAACAAACAGCCCCAAATGGGGTAGCTTAAAACAATAGCAATGACTTATTTTGCTCACAAATTTATAATTTCACCAGGCCTCTCAGTAAGGCTTTCTCTCTGCTCCATGCAGTGACAGATGGGGAGGCTGGACTCAGGGCTGGAGGACCTGCTTCCAAGATGGCGCTCGCACGGCTTGCGTGTAGATGCCGGGTGGTGGCTGGGAGTTCAGACTGAGGGCCTCAGTTCTTCTCCTGTGGCCTGGGCTTCCTTCATTGTGGTGGCTGGGTTCTAAGCACAAGTGTCCCTAGAGAAAAAGACAGGTGGACACTGTACTGCCTTTCATGACAGTAAAAGTATGACTAATCTCAGAAGTAAAATAATGTCACTTCCTTCCTGCGCTGTTAGTCAGAGTAGTCAAAGAGCCCAGAGGGGCATAGATTGTACCTTTTGCTGCTGCTAAGTCACATCAGTCGAGTCCGACTCTGTGTGACCCCATAGATAGCAGCCCACCAGGCTCCCGTCCCTGGGATTCTCCAGGCAAGAATACTGGAGTGGGTTGCCATTTCCTTCTCCAGTGCATGAAAGAGAAAAGTGAAAGTGAAGTCGCTCAGTCACGTCTGACTCTTTGAGACCCCATGGACTGTAGCCTACCAGGCTCCTCCGTCCATGGGATTTCCCAGGCAAGAGTACTGGAGTGGCAGATTCTTAGAAGAGCATTGCACCGTTTTTGGGAAATAAGATATGCTACAGTATTTATTCCTGTACTCCTTTTGTTACTTTTCAGGCTTTTCTGTTCAGTGGAGATAGTTCTTTACTAGTTTCATTTCTCTTTAATTTTGCGATTTGAGCAAATGAGGACCTTCCCCCAACCCCATCTTTGATTTTCCTTTCTATTCTTTGCCTGTGAAGTGTTTGCATGGTTCCCCAAACCAAAGCTGTACAAAGCCATACTCAGAAAAGTGCCATCTCCCCCACCCTATTCATTCATGCCATCCTCCCCACCCCCACTCTCACCCCAGCAGTGAACCAGTCTCCTTAGTCTCTGGCTCATCCTCTCTGGGTTCATTTCCCCTCCTTTCTTACACAGAGGGTGTCCACGCTAAGGATACTCTTTCGCATGCTTTTTTCACTTACTGGTACACTCTGGAAATCACTGCACATCAGTGCTTAGGTATCTTCCCTTGCTCTTGTTTTTTTCTTAAAACAGCCATGAAGACTGACTTCATTGTGTTAATGTTCTGTAGTATATTCAGTCTCTTATAGGCATATAAGATGGTTTATGATATTTTGCAGTTACAAACAAAGTGCAGTGAATAACTTTGTGGCCATGTGTATTTTTGTGTTATTGGGGATACAGCTTCACGATGAAATCTTAGCAGGATGTCAAAATGTAAACTCACATGTAGTTTTGTTACGTATTGCCAAATTCCCCTCCATAAGGGTTGCACCAGTGTTCATTCCCACTGGTCACAAGAATGCCTGTTTCCTCACAGTTTCATCAAGTGTGGACCTTTCGGATGTGGTCGTTTGTACACATCCTTCCTGCCCGAGAGAGCCAGGGTGTTTCTTTGGTTCATGTTGCCTCTGCTCTCACGAGTCCAGGAGGGACTGAAGGGCCTCTGAGACTCAAGGGGACCTTGGACGTCTCTTCAGGTTACACTGTCACTCCGTCAGCGTGGGCCACCACCCGCACGCTTACCCCAGGTCACGCGTCCTTCCCCTTCTGTTTGGGGAGCTTGGGACACAGCTCCAACCTTTGCCTCGGCGTCCTTCCCCTTCTGTTTGGGGAGCTTGGGACACAGCTCCAACCTTTGCCTCGGCCTCCTTCCCCTTCTGTTTGGGGAGCTTGGGACACAGCTCCAACCTTTGCCTCGGCCTGCTGCTGCCTCTGACAGGCCATGTTCGAAGCCTTCCTCACCTGGAGGGCTCCAGACCTAATGGCAGTCAGTGTCCACACACTTGGCCTCCTTTTTCACACATTGCCCAGTGCTGAGCTGGGTCAGGAGGTGAGTGAGGCCGCAGGTGCTCAGGAGCCAAGCCCGTGTTAAAAATACCCAGTGATAATTAGTAAATATAGACTAGACTTGGATTAAACAGTACTAAGCACTTTTGTTAGTGATTCTCACTCAATAGTTAAAAGCAAGTTCGGGGCTTTCTGAAGGCACTTTGGAGCTCAAAACTTGAATTATAAAATACCACTGTTTTTGGAGGAAGGGCCTGGTTCTCCAGATGGTTTAGCCATTAGCCGTCAGCCACCGAGCCCTGACTTGCCCTCGTGACTCTCTTATCTCACAGGCACAGGCTGTGCCAGCCTCTGAAGTCTCCAAAGCCCTGTGATCTTGGCGCCATTTTCTCCCTTCTCAGGCAGCTTACCCTCTAGAACAGTGAGACCATGAGGCTGGCTGAGGAGACCCACAGCTTGACCATCTTGTTGAAGTAGTCTCCTTGGTGTGAGGAGAAGATATAAATTAAGAAAATGAGGACACTCTTAAGAAATGTCTAAAGGTGGGATAGTATTACCTGGAGTGGGCACATCAGGAAGGGAGACCCCCCTGGCAGCCTGTG